TGATCTCCATGCACACACAAGCGTCGTAAATTCTCCCTATTTGTACTGGAATGATGTGCGCTCAGAAGCTCGGAGAGGCAGAGGGAATCGACGCATTTATGGTTAAATATTTTTCGTTCCTTAATAAGAGAACAAAGGAGCAAAAGCCTTTCAGTTGATAATGGTAACGACAGAATTTTTTGATTGACCCAAAGGAAGCCGGAAACACATTCAGAAAGGGATGAAGGGCTGAGACGGATGCGCACAGATGGTGGGTGACAGTGAAAAATGAAAGGATGTCAGTTGTTTGTAGTGCGACACATCATGATGATGTCCGTAAAGCAGAAAACAGACAAAAAGACGGATAAGGTGGTAAGATGAACTTGAGCAGTCGCATCTGATCGGACATGTTTGTTTTATAAGAGGACAAACAGGTTCAGTCGGTGCCAAGTGAACATTTTCATTTCCTTCAACCTTTATTTAGACAGATAAATCACACTGAGCCTCGAAGACTCATTTACAAGAGAGACCTGTTAAGACGGACAAAAATGTAATGAAAGTGACACATGTATAGGATCTGGAGGCAAAATAAGCATAGCTTTTAATTTGGTACATATTATTGGCGCTTAACAATATGAGAACATATTCAATCTTTTTGCGCTCAGAATATGTGCCTGGGATCAGTCTCAGCTACTACTACCCCAAATTTTAGGTCAATTTTAAATAATTTAATGTCTATTTTTGTGTTTTTAAAAATCAGTTGACTGTGGAGTCATCTTGGATCAGATTGGCTCTAAAGGTTTGTCACTTGTTTACGTACATGCAATAAATATTTCTGCAAGTTTTACTAGAATTCAACCAGTGAAGGATTTCAAACATTTTTAAAGTCACTATACGCACATTTGTTTTATTTAGCATTTCACCCAGTTTTACATGGCACTTTGATATTACTGTGTTGTTTTAATTATTTACATTGTTGTCTATTTTATTGTCTGTCTAAAGCAGGTTTCTCTTGAAAATGAGTCCTTGTGTTCCTGTGAGCCTACCAGTATAAATAAAGATTGAATGAAATGAAACCAAATCGATCAAAAACGTTATCATCTGCCTCAGCTCTTAGCAGCGTACAATAAATATTAGCTAGATGATAGAGCTAAAATTTTACATGCATCATGAATGTGGATTTAAATGTATTCTGCATTTTCTTGTAGTTTAACATTAGTGAAACTCAAAAGTGTAATACAAAAAATGCAACAAGTGTCATTTGTCACATAGCGAGCTGTGTGACGCAGACTGTGGTATTTGGACCCAGCAGCAGCTGCTGTGTGGCCACCTGCTCCTCGCAGTGAAGCGTCTCACTCTGACCTCCTGTGAAGACACGTAGAGAAGGCGACAAAGATATCTGCAGGAAAAAAAAAGATTTTCGCTTAAATACATCCCTCTCATTAGACTTGCACCGTGCTTCTTTAATCCAAATACACTAATATTCTATATGGGCTTCACACATCTCTGCTGGGTGAAGGATTGCTTATTATGCAAATAGACAGAAGAAGGAAATCAAATATCTGGATTCTGTTTGCACAGATCTTATTAAATGTGTCCAACCTGAAAAACGTTTCTCATTAGCTGATGATGGATAAAGTTTGTTCTTTCAGCAGAAGTTCTAATTGTTTGCGAGTCATAAACAACGTTCAGCACGGATGCAATGTTCATCAGGCGGGCAGTCAGTCATTTCAACCCACCGAGGAGGACTAAAAGCCTTGCTCCTGAATTACTGTGCCTCGCTGTCACTGGTAGGAAATAGTGTGGTGCGCTCGGAATGCTGTGTGAATGATGAGGAACACGATTGCTGAGTAGAATTTGGAAGCTGAGCGAGGTTAGCTTTGCATGACCTCCATTTTTGAAAGGGAGATGCTAGCCTCTGAGAGGAAACTACTGTAAGTGAACTGGGCTCAGGCCACCTCACAGAGGAATGATCATAAAAAACAAGGGATGTCTTCAGAGCCACCTCAGTATTTTTGTTAAAACTTTTAGAGGCAAAACTTTAAAAGAATGGTGGTGTATTGTGTGAGGGACCTCTACTGTTGAATAAAACCTGTTTGGTCTCTAGAAGTACTACTTGCATACTTACCTCTCTGCAGTTTTTGTCATGGTTTATTAGCCAGGTTGTGACAAATTGGGAGCTCGTCTGGGACTTGAACCAAGGACCTTTCGCACCTCATACAAGATCAGTTTGTGAGTCAAGGTTGTGACAAATATGGTGGAGTGACTCACCAAGTTTAATTAAGTTGTCAGTCAAACCAAAGACCTTACCCTTTGATCAGTGCAGCTTCGGGAGCAACTTCGTGAACAGAAAAGTAAGTTTTAGATGGTAGAAATACACACACTGTTCAAATTCAAATATCTTTATTGTCTTTATTGTCATTCGCATCACATGTGGTACATGAGCTGGAACAAAATTGTGTACTCAAGGTCCCAGTTACACCCAAGATAGCAAAAATATAACATATAAAAAAAGCAGTATATAAGAATCTAAGATATAATCTAAGATATATACTAAACAAACGGTAAACAATACGGTAAAAGGGCTAAGATACAATAGTCCCTCGTTTATCGCGGGGGATCCGTACCCTGAAGCCCCCACGGTAAGTGAAAAACTG